GGTCTTGCTGGGATAATTAACTGAGAAAGAATTGCAGACTTTCATTGTGCATCCGCTTCGTAATGTCCTCACTCTTTTTAAAACCGCGTGTTTTTCTAAGGACGTCATTATCGCTTCTTTTCAAAAAACACCACCCTTACGTTTGGTGGGATGAAAAGAAGACAAGGCTAAGGTTAATTTCCCTTTTCTTTTGGATTTCAATGGGCATGTGTGTGTTTGGAGAGGGTAAGAAAGCTCCCATTGTGCTAATAGAGAGTTGTCATTGTTCCCAATTCGAATGAGATAGTGTTCAATTCAGTCGTCAAAACCTTTAATCACATTTGGAGCCCAGGGCTGCTTTAATCACTTTGTAGATATAATAAACTTTCTTCTCAGACACAAAGTGGCCCCGAAGAACTGTGTGCTTCTATCAAAACAACAAGCCTATGCATTAATAATAGGATTATTTTTGGGGTTTCATATAAGGACAAAGCTTCTTGCCGTAATGTACGCAGCATGATCACAAGTTCACCCCTAGCTTTGTTGTTTTTGTCTCTTGAATGACATTTCGCAAAACACCTAGTAACCTGCCGCACATGATTCATAATTAATATCTCCATTAATATACAGATATGGTTTTCTCCTGCTTAAGTACTGCAGTAGGTGGTAGGAGCCTGGGGGGGATAACAGATCAAATCTAATTAGCCGTACCTAATACATGAGAGAAATGTCTTTATATTTATCTAGCTCTTTTGCCTTCAGGTCTGTGATGAGAGAACGTGTCCCGGGGGAGCCACAGACACTGGAGGAGAACTGCGAGCCGTATCACAGAGCTCACCTTCTCCAAACTGTCACGGCATTTCCAGGAATGGCTGTAGTAAAGGAGCACTCGGGTACAGTTGCCATAAATGTCGGGTGTCCCCAGCTGAATAGCAACTACAGATCTAAATATATAGCTTAGTCATCCACTGTAATTGCCCAGCCACTCTTTTTGCACCGCAGTCACTCCTGTTCATTTGTTCATAACTTATTGTATTTATTTTCAAAAAACAATACAGGTACAGGACTCAAAATAGAAGCAGACAATCTTTGCAACTCAAGCAAAAAAACACTTTATTATGCACTACCTGTGAGACAATGAGTGAGGGGGCTTCCACTTTGGCGAACGTTATCCCTGCCAGAGAAAAAACCCTTTGTGGTGCCCTTTTGAGTCCGATTCAGGAGGACCAGAGATGAGCACCAGGCATGACAGGAGGACGGACAGTCTGCTGATCACCATCTTCCAAAAAACCGAGGAAACAAGACGATCTCCCAGACCCGGGGTAAGTTGGTCCCAATCCCTCCACCATGGCACAAAGAGTAGGTTGGATCGGGAACGTGTAGCTATTATTTTGTAGAGAAAAGACAATGGGTTGTTAAATCAGTCCTATGAAAATGTTATGAATCTTTTGGCGGTCCGGATTACTGGAGGAACTCAGAACAGTGCCCCAAACAGAGAGCCCAGAAACAGAAAGTCCAAAGGGAAATTTGCAATGTCTTCCATCTCGGCTCTGAATGCAGTGGTAGCACATTAAATTACATTAAATTAAGATTAGATTCAACTTTATTGTCGTTAATATGTCAGGACAAAGCAACAAAATTCAGTTTAGCAACCAATCAGTGGTGCAATAGTGCAAGAATTGGATCATATTTACTACACAGATAGATATACGTATGCGTATAGTATATGCATGTATTTGACAAAGCTGCTATTGCTAGTATATACATTCATTACATTACAATAAATTACATTAATGTGTGTCTAACGTGCTTTAACATGGTGAGAGTTCAAAAGCTCTGTGATAAAAACTGTCTCTGAGCCTGCTGGTACACTGCAAAAAATAATAAAATATGAGGCAACAATTTCTTGAATCGAGTGGTTTTTATCTTAATTTGAGCACATTCTGACTGTGTTAAGACCAGTGGGGGCGGTCCCGGCTCAAAAGTGGCCAAAATGACGTACGCTGACATGCTTGCAATAACACCCCAGGCCGATGGGGGTGGACCCGGAATAAGAATTAGCCAATGCTAACATATACATAGTTCCCACATGACGTCACTACATACGGGGATTTGCTGACCCGGCGCCATTTGTGTTGGCATGCTGTGGGCAAAACAATAGAAAAAGAAGCTGAAACGTGTTAATGTCGTGATAAAGTTGAAAATGGTCATCTCCTGCTGGGTCAATGGATGTTCAAATCGTGCCGGAGGTTCAGTTAAACTTGGATTTTACAGTATACCCATCATTAGACTTCATGAATGTGAGAAGACTAAGCTTTTGTCAGAACAACCACGGAGGTTATGGCTTGCGAAGATAAACAGGCAAGAAACTCCCTCAAAACACGCAAGAATATGCTCGGAGCACTTTGTGTCAGGTGCGTATCGTATCTTATAATGTGTTGACAGACGTAATTTACTCAGTACTAACTTGTGTATGCTGATAGCTGGTAACTTGAGAGTTTCATTATTTAGCGTTAGATTACTTTATTATGAGGAGGATCGGTGTCGCGTCCGAGGCTCTCGAGGGCAACGTAAATGTATTAAATAGATAATAATAGTTCTATGGTGGGCTAAAACAATGTTCACAAACAGCATTGCTTCTGTAAAAAGATCTGTGTCATAAAATAAACTGCTCTTTACGCCTGGAAAAATCAGTTGCCCACCATTCACCAAAACATACGGTCAAAAACGCGGAAATAAACAATAACAGCAATCCAGAGTGTCCGTGTGGCATTAGCATTAATTAAATTAATTGTTAATATAATTAAAATAATTAAATGGAGCTCCAACTGGTATTAAATCTAAAGTTTTTGAGAAATGTTTGCATTGCTTGTTAATTTTTGCTGCATAATTTGATCAAATATGTAAAACATGTCCGTAGCACGTTAAACTGTGGTGCCATTGTATTAATATACAATTATTTGCTCAAAAGTTGCCCTTTTTTTCCAATTTGCGTTTGAATATCTACATTTATTCTCATTCTTCTGTTTAATGGAATGCACAAACACAGCAGCGTGCCATAAAAGATGGCGTCTCCGAGGAGGTCATGTGACATTCATTGGTCTGTGGGAACTATGTATAGCATCTTCTTACCTCTCAAAAACGTGTTTACAGGATGGTCCAAAAGTTAGCTCTTGGCCCAAAGCTCCGTTCCACATGTGTGTCAATGCTGAGGGGAGTGTTTTGGACCAGTCTAGTTTTAATTTTTGAAGGCACTCGTTAAATGAATGGGGCTTGTGCAGCTGAGGTATGCGCAGATGCGTTTCCAGCCCCCGTGGCCATTTTGAAAACTGCCCATAGACTGCGGAAGTTGTGGCACATAAGTTAGAACAGCGGAGAGAGGCGTGACTATGTACGTTAATATTTACAGTCTATGGTTAAAACAAGATTTGACTATGGGACAAAGCCATTTACTCTTATTTCAAGAACTTTGGCTTTATTTTCCCATTCCAACTGAGACATTTTTAAAATTTTGCTTTGTCCTGTTAGCAAATCATGTTTTAATCATGTCTTATTTTTCTCTACTTTTTGCAGTGTACACTATGTCTGCCCCAAAAAGTGAGATTTAATTCAGACATTTCACACCCTCAAATCTGTAGGAACCATCTACAAACTTGAATGTCTAACTTTAGATGAATTTCCTGTATGTCCCCCATCATTCACGAGTTTGTCCAGGTAGAACAAAATACATGGATGTTGCATTAGAGGAACACCATAATGTCCTCTACTTTTTGTCTGACTTTTACAGTAGATAGCCGCAACCTCTTCTAAATGCAAAAGTATATGTGTGCTACATTCTGAACGAAGGGATGGATTTGGTCAATTATTCATTACGTAAGCATGAAGCCTTCTAATGTTCTTTGGCTGCTTTTTTCTTTTGCAGCGTGCTTGTCTCTCGCCAAAGCCCCGCAGCTCTCAGTTATCTGCCGCAAAAGAAGGATGATGAGAGTGTTTCGTGATATTTGCTAGCTAAATTCATTAAAGCTTGTTGTTATTATAGGGCATATGTTGGCGTTTCATCTCCCCTGATAACTCCCAAGTAAACTCTCCCATCACACTCCGGCCCCACGATTGATTTAGCCTTTGCCACAGCTATCTCCCATGCTGACAGTCACGGTGAATTTGGCCATGTGAGACGACACGATAAAGGACAGGATTTGATTTGCATTCATGAAGCACTTAGGAAGTTCAAAGCGTAGTTACAGGCGAGAATAGAGAGGGCCTCATTTCAGAATCCAGATTTTTTTTTTCCCCCCATGCCATATAGTTCACCTTAAGTGACAATTCTTGGGTTTCATTAACCTGGCCAGTAGGGGGCGAATGAGCAGAGGTGTGACAACTCAGTTTTGCTCCCTTTGAAAACCATGTAAATCGTGTCTGTTTTGGAGTCAAAAGGCTCTCATTCTGTGCGGTGTACGGTTGTTGTAACAGTTTTAATCGGGGACACTCAATTCTAAGGGAGTACCAAAGAATATTTCTCAAAAGAGTCTTGATTTTGGGCATTTTTGGAAAGAAAAAACAGAAGAAATTGCTGCGTTTCATTGGGGTGGCCTGCAGGGGGCGCTTATCTGGGAAAGCCTTGATCCACTGCTTGCCTCTTTTGAGTTATTTTTTTCAAGTGTCCTCCTTTATAGAAGACCGCAGTTGGAACACGGAATAAACTCTTGTCTTTCTCTCATTTGTGCGGTTGCTACAAGCGTACACCGCACAAAAAGATGGCATTTTGACAGCACTTCTTCTTCTACTATATCTCTGTGTATAAACCCGGCAGACTGCACCGATAGGATACGTCACGTCCTGTCCTACGTTTGTTATTCGCGCCACTGCCCTGACGTCATATGAAACCCAAGAATACCAACGATGTTACATGAGGTCCCTGTGTATATCACGGTGGTATCCGGGTCGTTCCAGGTTGCGGCGCTCTTTCCCCAGGTCACCGGCCGTTCAACCTGGTGAACATTGAAGCAAAGTGCATACAGAATTCAGACAGACGGTGACATGCCCTACAGCCACAAGCAAAGACATACAACCATTCCCCATTATGAGCTCTGTGCTCCAGCTGCAGGCAGGGTTTCAAAATTGTCTGGGGGCATGCAGCCAGTTACCAGACTTATTGCCTGAAAAGAACAGTTTCCCGCTCCCATAAACGTTGCTAAAATTGCAAGTGATGGATTATAGTTTCACATTGATAAGGATCTGTGTGCGGGGAGCTTTGATGAATCTCCAAACTGAATACCGATGGGCTGTGCGCTTGCAGTCGACTGCGTGACATTGAATTACATATCCGACGTAGCATCGCTCTCCCTAAATGGTTATGAATATTGATCCAGGCACGTCTTAAGTAAAGGTTGACGTGACATGAGAAGCAGACTCAATAGGGCGTACAGCCGTGCTCTAAAGACCATTATTCCCCATCTTTCAAACAATTCTGAGCCCCCTCACTCTATGTAATATTTAGTCTCTTGAGATGGCACGTAGCGGCCCGGTGAGGGGAATTGAAAGTGTGCAGTCTGTGGGAATTAGCAGTAGCCACCTCCAGATTAGGTTTGCAGTGCTCTGGGTGACTAGCACGCTAAGAGAGTGGGATGGAAATGGAAGAGCACTCAGGGTGGCAATATTCAGGCTGAATCACCATGTGCAGGACCGGCTGTGGAGAGAGGCATATGGAGGATGTGACTGTGGGAAGTCTCAAATGATGTTGTTTACATAGCTCGCCGGTCATAGTATCTCGATTATGCAGAGAGGTGATGCAAAAACACAAATCTGCCAAATGACTTTTCTTTATCAACACACTACAGCAACACAATTTCTGCTCCTGAGATGTGACACACTCTTATTTATTTTAGATGTTATGTGACTGAAGGCGACAGCAACTGCTCTGAGAATAGACGTCGCAAAGAGGCAAGGACTTTAATCACAAGAGACGGGTTTAATGTTTTAAAGTCACTAATTCAATCAACTACTACATGGATGAATGGAAAGAGGCCAGATCAAGTTATCAAGCCTTTACAATAATCACCTTTCTGGACAAAAGAAGAAAGACTTTGTAATGTACTCTTCAAAAATATGTCAATATTATATTAATCTTTCTCCATGTGATAGATATGAGCTGGTGCATGTGGGAAACTTGTGTATAATTGTGTTGTCCTGTAAGATTCCTGCTTACCTCTCGTCTTATCAAAGCTGACACAATATATTTTCAAAAGTGCTGTTAACTTTGCTGACTCCAAGGTGACATTCTATCATTTATTTTGGATCCCCTTGTGCCCTGAAGGGAGAGAAACAGAAAATGCAAGAGCGCAATAAGAAGAGGAAGCGATGACATAGAGCTAATGGCCCAAGTCGAACTCTAAACCAGGCTGCTCCGTACAGGACACTGCTGCCTGCATTTTCAGGTGAGACACAGACTTCCCACATTTATCATTCTCACACACTCTGCTGCAGTTGCTCTGTTGAATAACAGTACAATGCATATGTGGCTCCAGGCCTTACTGTAATTTGACTGGGCACTTCTTTATGTGACTCATATGCTGCATGATGTGCAGCATTTATAGCAGTGAGGTCTGGAGCCCAGAGGAGCCGTTTAAAACTGCCAGTGATGCTGAGAGTCGGAAAAGGAAAGTCTTATTGTGGATTGGATTTAATATGAAAGACAGACATATGGACAAAGTAAAGTATTTGTAAAGACAAATAATACTGATCTACTAAAGAGTCAATAAAGTCCAAATATAGTTTCTCTTAAAGTTTATTGATGATAGAGTTTAAGACGCTGCCTGCAGTGACTCTGTTGAGGTAAAAAGGTGAACTTCAAAGATGCTGTTGAGAATATGTTCAATATTTACCGTTGGAGAGTTAGAGGAAACACCATACGGTGTTTTTCTCCCTCAGAGGTACACACTCCTCTCTGCGCTCCTCGGGGCTGCATGTCCGGGCGGTGGTGGACCCTCTGACCGTCTCTCGGGGTGGGGTTCACAAAGGCGCGCGCGCCCCGCCCCCGCGCTTGGCGCTGTCCGCGCGCTGGTGCTGAACACGGTGCGCGCAGTCCCCGCTCCAACTGGCAACATGAGAGAGCGCAAAGTTCTGGGGTTCTCACCGCGGACCACGCACTGGACAGCTATGGCGGACGTGTGTCTCCACTCTTTCTTTTGTCTTTTTGAATGATTCCTCTGCGTGTCCTCCAGTCGCTGGGGGAATATAACTTGGCGCCAACATGATTTTGGGGCTTGTGTTGTGCCTACTCGCCCCGGCTGCTGGATACATGTCGTCGGAGCGGCTGCCTTTCTTTCACGGCCACGTTTTTGAGAACTCACCGACAGCATCCAAAGTAAACGGACTCAGCATTCCGGTGAGACGTCTTAACACGCAGAAATGGTGCCCAGCGTCTGGACTGCACTTGAAACTGTATGGGAACGGGAGTGAAGATTTCCGAGTTTTGACTCACCATCACAGAGGAAATGTATTGCTGAAAACTTGTCGGGTTTTAGACCGGGAGCAGCGCTCTGCGTACGTCCTGGAGCTGGCGCTGCGCTGTCAGGGCTGTGGAGCGGAGTGCGGCGGTGCCCATATAGTCGCTTCTATAAAAGTAGATGTTTTGGACACGAACGATCACGAACCAGTTTTTCGCAGTGCAGACGCGGTGCACATAACTTTAGATGACACGACAGCTCTCCGTAGTGTTGTGTACAGGTTTGAGGCTGTCGATGCAGACCGTGGGAAGAACGCAGACTTAACGTACACGTCTGTCCCACAAAATGGCAGTTTCTATGTTGTCCCCAAAACAGGGCAACTTCTTTTAGTTGATTCTATCCTCGGCTTTTCATCAAAAGTTAGTTTTAATGTTTACGCCAGAGACCACGGCTGGCCCCCGCTGACCAGCGAGGCGGTCACGGTGACTGTGTCTCCGCAGCGTTGGCCCTCTGCTGAATTAGCAGGGTCAGTGCGGTCAAGACGGGGAGCCAGGGCGTTACTTGACCCGGACACTCTGCTCTCTCTCAACGTGTCTGAAGACGCCAGCATCGGCTCTGTAATCACGAGCCTGAGTCCCAGCAGGTTTCAGTCAGCCGCCTACGAGCTGCTTCACCCGGAGCCCCACAAGTCCCCCGTGAGCGTGGGGCGCGACAGTGGAGATATCATCATTAGCAGGCGCCTGGACAGAGAAACAGAGCCTATGGTGGAACTCACAGTTAAGATCCAAGATAAACGAGGTGTGTATTCCCCAAATTTTCATGTCTGTTATAGAGTGTGATCCCCAAATATCCAAATATCCATGTATGTTACATAGCACTGATGATGCTCATACATTAAAGCAGATAGTCTTTCATTTTAGCTGTATTATTATAACCATAGAGGCTAAACACCACAGTACATACCATCAACACATTTTTAGGACATTTAAAGGCTAAGTTTTTCAATGACAATGTGAGCAAGTACATAAGTATCCCTTCTACAGTATGTGCTGCTGACCAAAGAGAGACAGCTGATTTATAGGATGGTACCTCTTTGGATTATCAGAAACATAAAAGATAGAGCCGGTGCTGCCTCGGCTAATGGCCCCCACACTCAGGCATTATTTGCATTGTGCCCTATTTAGACAATGATCTGCACATCTAGCCTATATAGATGTTCTAAGTGTGCCGCCATCTGGACAAGGCCCCCTTCTCGAGTGAAAGCCTGACATATTCATTTCACATTTTCATCATGGCTGTCACTTTGTGTACTGGCTCCACAGGTGTGCCTTATCACTCTATCCCCACCACTCACCTCATGCAAGCAGGAACATGGCAGGGATAAGTAGAAAGCCATTTGCACGTAATTTATTGTGATTTATTCAACATTTTGAGCTTGACAGTGAGTAAAAGAACAGAAATGTGACTCTGAGGACTTTGCAGACCGGTTGAATAGGGTCCTTGACTGACGCATTTTGTGGCTGCAAAGTTGTTTTTAGAGCTAATCCTTGCAGAGTGGCACGACCCTTTTCCTCTCATCTACTGGCATTACCCCTCTAATCCTCCACTCATTCACTCTTCAGGCCCAGGGATTTTTATGTGACTGCTACACTCATGCAACCCTTTATTCTTCCGGGAAAGGTGAAAACTATCTGACAAAAGTTTGCCGCCTGACAAACGAGACAAACACAAGAAATCTCAATTATTTTTCTCTTTCTAATCGTGCAACATAGAGCGCAAGAAGCAGTGAGCGCTGTTTTCACGTGAACTCCCTGCTGCTAATACTTTGCACACTGTGTTCTAGACTATAATCGGTTTCCTGATTGGGACTCGATGCTATAAAGTCTTGCCTGCATTTTTGGTTCATATATTTCAGAAACACAGAGAAAAAAAAGTGAGTGTTTTGACATCTTCTCCCACAGATGTCTAAGAGAAATAAGCTACTCCTGCCTGACAGAGACCTGCGTAGCTCCTTCCATTTTTGCTCTCTCACCTGTAAAAGTCTCCTCTCTTGATCAAAGGCCTGGCATGTCCTTTATCTGGTGACTACAGCCTTGCAGACAGCATCTTGACACGACGACAGAGAGACAAGTCTTTCTTCTTCTCGTCTCATTCTCAAAACTTGCTCCTCAGCTATCACACTAAAGGAGGCTGAAACTGCTCAGCCTTTTCAGCCTGATTACTGTGCTCATCCCAACGCCACTGAGAGAATGATAATTAAGATTCTCTGCATCTGTCCTTTGACGTCTTCACATATGTAGATGCTGGTCATGCTAAGATGGGACGAGTATTGCACCAGTTTGTAATAAGGCCCCTTGTGTTGCCTTTTCTTCTGTGATGGCCATAACCCCGCCAGTGGGGAGCTGTCTGCGGTGCTGACAGTCACCTGCTGCATGCCAAACAGAACGCGCCGTCAAACAGTAGTCTACACCGGTTCACTGTGTTCTCAGGTCAGCAACATGTCCCACTTGGCCCTCCACAAACACTCTATACATTATTCATATTCACAACCTGAAGAAGCATCAGCCATATTATATAGGAAGTGAATAGATGAAGAATGGGGGCCATGTTTGATGTTGATGAGTAGATACAGCATATGTCTGTTTTAACTATCAAAGAAAAGGACTTAAGTAGAAGTGGAACAGACACAAGTTTTATCACATGCTTCTGCAGTGGTTCTCAACTGGTGGTTCTCTTGGGCAATTTTAAAAGGCTTTGGATTAAAGTAAAATTAAAGGTGATGTCTGCCAATACATTTCTTTGACCATATGACCCTGTAGTATTGTCAATATTATAATTCCTTCATAATAAATATATTTAAAATAGTCCCTCCCCTTGGAATAAACATAACCTGTAAGATTTTCTGCAGAAGAATAGATAGACCAACCAGTCTCAGCTATTGAGGATTTGAATTCATTGTGTCCAATTAGGAAACTGTCTTTTCGAGTTGGCGCTTCACAACTGGAAAATAAACTTACCTTTACATTAATGTTTCCATAATACAATGTTTGCACTTTCATTTAGAAAACAATGCGCTAATAGCAGATGTATGGAAGTTTGGCACTGAACTTATTGACATTGTGAGAAAATATGAATTTCAATCTATTTCTTTGTTTCCAGAGTCTGTTGGACGTATTTTGTTCATAATTTTATAGTAATATAGTAAATGTGGACACATCAAAGACCCTATAGACTCTGCTCAGGCCACAGTTGAAGTTAGCGATCAGTGGGATTTTTTTCAATGCTGCCAAATCATCTGAATATCCCGAATTCAGAAAAGGGAGTGAAACCAGGGAGGGGCAAAGGCCTCTGGGTCGTAGATGACTCGCTGATGCATGAATGGCTTCTGAAAGTCTCACTTCCAGCGTTTTATTAGAACAATGCTGTTTGTGTACGATGTAAAAGTTCACTGAATCGTTTGGTTGCATTATTCAGTACTAATCTTTACAAGACGTGACAAATGAGGCTGGTTCTCACTCTGACATCTGTTTCTACTCTCAGTCTTGTGCCGTGGATTAATGCATTTGTCATCCGCACAGATTTGAACACAAAAACCTAAACGCCACTGTGATTTTTTATCCCAACTTTAATATTTAAAACCTCCATTCCACCTCTTAACTTCTCTTGTTCACTCTAACGGTTTTATTTCTCAGGAGGTGGCACTAAAACTTGTTTGCTAAACATCAAACATATTTTGTATACTTTTTGCCACTTGAATTTACATTTTCTTTGAAAGGTGCATTTTGCTGTCAAATGGGAACCCGCTTGTCTCCAAAGATATGTTATTTCTTTGCCTGGAGAATTTCACTGAATAACATTTAACTGTATCTATATTTAAATAATCAGTTCATTTTGTTTAAAACGGAAACAACTTGATTCACTAATCACAGCTAATCCGCTGTAATAATTGACATTTATATTTGTATTCAAATGAGCCCAGGCGAATTTAGAATTGCTTATTTTTCTGCAGTTGACAAGCAGCATCAACATTAGGAAAAACAAATGGAGACAAATAATAATGGTTATAGCCCTAATCTTATACTCTGCAGTATCCCAGGTCTGCGGTGGCCTCTCCACTGATGTCCATTGAACATTGCATATTTGGACACTCAAAGCTGCTTGTGGCGGTGAACTACTCTAGCTACAGCTGCCCTGGGACAGATTGTCAGGGCGAGAGCTCTGGTGTGTGCTATCTTCTCTTTCTGGTGACTGTGCAAGACTGGGGTAGTCTTGCACAGTTTTTCCAATGTGGTTTTACTGCAAATGGAAAATAATTGATTGACTCTTGAGAAGCAAGCGAGGCTAGCAGTGTGTGCCATTGTTACCTCCGACTACCACCGCCACACACGCACACACACACCAGACTCATTCTAGACAATGTGGGCGAAGTGTCTTCCCTATGGCCTTACCAGAGAGCTCCCATCTCTCGGAAGGCTTAAGTCTACCGCCAAAAACATGTCAGGTAATTAAGCAGCACTAGCTTTCTCTACTTTTTTGTCTTATTAATAGAAGACCCTGCCCTGCGTAGCTTCAGAGGTCTAATGGGTCCTGGCATTCACATACAGGTGGCGCCAGGTCCTTTAATCATTTAATCATCATGAAATTAAAGCTCAAAAATGTGTGGTGTGCTTCTGGTTTTAGTGGATTTAAATGTCATGTCATCTCTCAGACCTGGACCAATCATGTGCATAGTGATTCACCTTCTATTTCAATGTATTACCTTTTGTTACTTTCATCGCATTGCATTTAGTGGAATAGGTATATCTCGTTAATTTATCCTGGCGGACAAGGACAGTGGTTCTTTTGCTTTCTAATCACTGGTACATTCTGTTCTGCTCAAGTTGGTAATTATACGGTCTTGCAATGAGGTTTAAAGTTTTCTGATGAGGTCGTTTGTTGCCAACTAAGCATGTGTTATTTCTTTGCTTGGAATTTGGAATGTACCTTTATGATTTTACGATATAAAATGTCCACATTATTCAATGGTAGATGTTTTTACTGCTCAAAAACCAGATTTCTCACATTAGACTTTGTTTTCCTCTCGACAGATATGACTGTTATGCAATAATGTGGAATGTTTAAGGCAAAACAATAACATTATGGACCCAAAAAGAGAACCCTCCAACAAAAACAGTTGTGTAAAGTGCATTCATGGACATTGGTCATCCCGCTCCCTGTGGACAATTGGCTCCTATGTGTTCATTAATATTTCATTTTGTTTATGGACATATCATATATATATAGACCAATACCTCTAGGCTTTTTATTGTTGTATTTCTTCTATATAAGCTGCCATGTTTTTCTTATGTCTGACTGGCCATCATCATGCATATGTTTTTAATATTGGCACCACTTCTAGAAAATAAATACACATAGTTGATGTGTAGTGACAAAACAGATGTGGAACTTTGTGACAGTTCTAGTTTCTGAGACTGGTCCAGGAATCAGAGAGAATCAGGATCAGAATTGTTTTTATTGTCATTGTAGTAACAGGAAGTCTCAAAATAGGACATTGCTTTGGTTCTCAGTGCAAATAAGTTAGATAGAATAAGGCATAAGAAGAAATACAAAATATACATTACATTTTTTAAAAGTGCACGAAGTATACTTAAAATCTTAACATTACTATTATATACAAGTGGACTAGGTACTTACAATGGAAAGAAACTAGGTAAATACAAAGAAGTTTGACATTTGACTTTTATATTTGTATAGCTGTCCACAATTTTAAACTATAGGCTCATGTTGTGATGTCACATGTTTAAAACCTATTCCCCTCTCATTCAAGTGATTTCAGCTCAGGAAAACATTTTTTTTTGACTAATTACATTTTACCCCCTGAAGTCAAACATCATCCATGAACCAGATCATTCCAAACAAAGCTGAGAAACGGGAACGAAACCAAAAATCATCCAAAAATACTTTCCTCAAATAATAATCCAGCTAAACTTTCCTCCATCACATCATTTGGAGGACTCCAGATGTGCTGCCTGTGGTCTCGTGGTTTACGTACTTGTTAATTGGTGAATACATATTTACTAATGCGCATCGCCGAGCGCGTTCAGTGGCTCCTAATGTGGCCCTAAAATGGTAATCACCTCTGCGCGTGGTCTTTCTTATGGTAATAGGAATGCAGTGGGTACCGTGGAAGGAGGAGAGCAGCTATTTGTGGCGTTCAAATGTAGATGAAAAAGTGGAGTTTGACACTTGGATATCAGATAAATTATTCCGTCCCGCTGCAGATAAGGCCGAGGGGAGAACAGTAGTTTGCGATTACTCTCTGTGTGGCACCGCTCGTGTTGACATCCTCACCTTAAAGAAACCCACCTCCTCTGCACCTCTGCGCCGCTGCTACAGTATATGACCGCCACACGTTTCAAAACTCTTTGTAGTCCTCGGCATTAATCACAATAACGTTAAAACACATATTTGAATAAATGTGGAATATAGTTAATTATAATTAAGGCCAGCGCTCCACATCAAAGTGTTGTACAGCTAATGCCGCCGCACAGTGCACCATAGTTCCACCGGCGAACGCACTCAGCTCGCATTTCATTAATTTGCAAGACACCCACAGACCTGCTTAACCCAAAAATCATGTTTCTCTGCGCATTGGATTAAAGTTGTCCATCATAAATCGTGCTTGTCAACTTTTGGGGAGTTTAATTGGAGAGATTGCGTCGAGCGCTATCAAAGCTGCAGTGTTGGCGAGAATATCGTAGGTACAGTATCTTTGCCACAGATTTGTTACCAACGGAATGTGTGCCAAGGTAGCAAATAAAATGCACACGAGACAGCGTATTTATGGGTGGATCAGCAATATCTGTATGTGGCCCCAAAACTGCCTGTTATGCAATTATAAGGTCAATGGCAACTAAGCCTGGTTTCCATACCAAAGAGCTGGATTGATTTAGAGCAGGGTTCAAAGCCGTTTTTTAGGGGCGTGTTTAAAAAATGAGATATTGACGGAGGCCACACCTTTTTTAGGCAATTCCTCTACACTACTTACTTTATAATTTGTGGAAAGTTTGTTAAAGGTTTCTGTGTTTTTTTTGCATATGAGGTGTTTTTGACCAAATAATTTACCTTTTATTTGGGTTGATTTTCTTTTCTGGTACATTTTTTCAGACAGTGCAGTGATATTTGGATTATAATATATACATTTGGACTGAAACAAAACATTACAAAAGGTAAAGAAGGCTAGTAGTTGCACATGTGGGTTCAGTGTTTTGGGGGCTTCACAGTGGCAGGTCCTGGGTTGGATTCCACCTCCAGGCCTTTTTGTGTGGAGTTTGCATGCTCTCCCCATGTCTGCTCTGGTTTCCTCTGTGTGCTCCGGTTTCCTCTACCCCTAAAAACATGTACCGTACAATATGTGTGGAATGCCCCTCCTGTATGAGAACTCCGCTACCATCTCTGGGGGGAGGAAGAGACAAATGCCCAAAAAATTATAATTGTAAAGCGCTTTGTGGCTCTGGTCTGTGAAAGGCGCTAAATGTATATTACTTACTACCAATCAAAAACATAATGGTGTAAAACTAATAGTGGTTGTTTTCTTGATAAAATTAAAATTATGTGTAACATGCCATTGTAGGAATATTGACCTCTGTATCAAAGCTGAATGTCAATATGAAGACATTAAAATCATTTCTGGGGCCACTAAACATGATTTCAAAGGCCACATTTTGCCCACAGCCTCAGTGTTAGTCATGCCTGCATAATTTACAGGGTTAGAGTAAAGCTTTGGGAAGCTCTGAATTACTCTGATTCATGTGGATTTAGGATCGTAGTCATCGTAGTCGTGCACACTTCTTAAAAAATGTGTTTCTGGAGCCGGTGTGCAGTCTGTATTTGAGCCTTGTCAAGGATAGTGCCCCTTTCTGATCACTGAGCACTCCAACCACTTCTCCTTATTCAACCTGGAAATGTGTGCCTTCTGAAAGCAGAGCAAAGTTTGGCCAAGTCAAACATCACATAATAGAAATGTTTGTTAAGTATTATTCATCTACGGCGTTCGATTATGTGTTCCCCTCGGTGAATCCTCCCTCAATCTGCACATTTATGAATCAATCTAATGCTTTTAAAGTTTACGCTGTATTCTTATAGTTTAACAGATAATGGCTCATCAAGAGTGCATCAAAGTTTGCCACTGTCATTAATAATCATGAAGACGGTTTCCAAATGAATACGGCAAACTCTGAGACACAGGATGTTTCGATAGCAGTTCAAACATATCATTTAGTATTTTTAAGGCAGCAAATAACGGCAGCAGAAAGGAAGAGTAAAAAGCAGGAATGAGAAAGCTTGTTAATGGACTCAATACTTACCAGATTCGCAAAATATGACAGAACTCCGGGTCAGCACCTCTTCGTCGTCACCATGGAGATTTTCTTGGAATATTTCACTGTATGGCAATAGCAAACCTGGGAAAGGATGGATAGTTTTATTCCAATGTATTAACAAAATTACGTCAAGCACACAGGCAAACAGCATCACGTGGAGATTTGTAAGAAAAGGTGAAAAAGGGCATTGAAATATCTATAAATCTCACTCTTTCTGAAGCCAAATAAGAGTTGCCAACTCTTTTCAGCTTCTCTTCTCACCCGTGGCAGAGAATAGCATTTTACATGGCTTTTGGATTGGGGTGTCATTAGGTATAGCGGTTCTTTAGGCTCCCCCCCAGTAAGCGCATTGTTTGTTTGGGGATGAGATTTCTGAGATTTTTCTGTTTCTCCCATATTTTTTTTTTTTTTGCTTCATTCCTTGCTGTTTCATGGAGGTCATAGAATAGTAATGATCCAGGTCATTTACAGACTTATTTGGACAATAAAAAAAAAAAAAAAGTATGGTAAAAAAATTATTACGAATGATTGTCGAAATCTGTTTTTCAGACCTGGAACATTCTTAAATACTGTTTTTCCACCTTCCTCCCCAACATTGTGTGTGCGGTTTACGATGCATACGGTTTGACACGGCTCTGAGATAGGCACCGTCAAATACGCAGGTAATTTACATAGATGTTATTGCCTCCAATTACGTGGCTCGCTGCTGTGTGCAACATACAGTAACAATCTAATAACGCTCACATAATAATCATAACAATAACTATTTTTCCATTAACAAAAAACCTAAAAAAAAAAGAACCTAACTTTGACACCATCTCTTCACTTGTGGTAAGGAGAGCTGTCGTCTACCACTTATCTCGACTTGAAATCAATTGGATTGGCAATTAAAGCCTATACCCGGAGTGCGAGGAATCCACATCAACTTTGCTTTTAAACCAGGAATAGAACACGGGATACACTCCACTGTCTAATAATGAGGAGGTGTAGTGTATGTGCGAGCAGTGACCTTTCTTCATACATTACAGGTACAATACTAACACCAGGGGCTCAGTGCTGGTTTTATCATGCTCCATTTGCACTAACATACATGAAGTCAATTGAAAATCCCAATCCACTTTGTGTATAAAGGACATTTATAAAATATGTTTTCATAGTGCTGCACAGGTAAAAGTAAGAGATTGCAATATACAAGTCTGCCAGTGTTAAATGAAAATAAGGAAAATAAAATGAAAATAATAATTATAATAATTATACAAATAATAATAAGAATACAATGTATTATTCAAATAATAATAATGATAATAATAAATAATAATACAAATAAAATTAAATGAAAAAAAAATCATATTCAGAATACTTTATTTATCCCACCAGGGGAAATTCATTCATTCCTTCATACAAAATAGAATTAAATTCAATAAAACAAATTAAAATAAAATAAAAATACAAAAAAACAAAAACTCCCATCTGTATACATAATTAAACATAAAACAATAAAATAAATAAAAAGATAAAACAATAAAATAGCAGACCACACAACTTACTCGGTGTTAAAAGCCAGAGAGTAAAAGTGGGTCTTAAGACCAGACTTAAAACATTCTAATGAAGGAGCTGTTTTGACGTGGGGGAAATTAATGGATTGTTTTTTCAAGGCCCAATTATTAAAGCAGGGGCACCTAATTTAAAAACCTTCAAAATGAATACAAATTATATAATATAATCCATCCAACTAATTTGGTCTCCCAAAGTCATTTTGCATTCTTTAGAACATATTTTTCAGGCAGAAAAGTGAGAAAAAAAAGAGGACCACCCTCACTCAGACATATAGCCTGCAGCCAAAAGAGTCAAATAGGGACTCACTGGGCTCTGTCTTACATTATACAAAATATATAATAATAATAAGATGCTGGGGTTTGATTTGTTCACAGAATTTACATTTAGGCTGGAACAAAAACATGTATTATTCGAGGAGGAAAAAACTTCATTTTAATCATATTCTATAATCTCTGTAATCATCGGGTGTCTTTTCAGTCTGCTGAGTGCAACATAAAATCAAATAACACTCACAATAACAATCCCCGGATGTATGAAAAGGAAACCAAAATGACAAGTGCTTTCAAGTAATGTGACAGAATATGGTTTAAAGCAGAAGTGTTTTTCTTTTCTTTAATGCAACTGTCTGTTCAATCATCCAAATCCATGGTCTTGCCTGAAAAAATAACAAATAATAATTCAACCCATTGCAAAGCGTCTCTGTAGCGCAGTGGTTAGTGCTTGTTCTCTGGGCCTTTCCGTGTGTGGAGTTTGCAAGTTCTCTCTGTGTCTGTGTAGGGTTCCTCCAGGTGCTCCGGTTTCACCTACTACTACAAACATGTACAATAAGTCTCCTTGTATGGCGACCTCCCAATCCATCACTGTGTGGAGTGAGAGGACAAGCGATTTTTGAATCTGGTGTGTAGTATTAAACCCTGAGGTGGTACTTTAACCCATGTGCTGCCTTTGGGTCAAAATTACTCGCCACAGTGATTAAAAGTAGAGGAAAGATCTCCTAAAATAGATTTCTAAAAGGGTTTCAATGATAG